CAGTGAAAAAGAGAAGGACCTTCCATGAGGTGAATTGCCACAGTGGCTGCAACAATGGGCTCAGACGTAGCAATGATGGTGATGATGGCGCAGGACCCGGCAGTGTTTCCTTCTGTTGGACATAAGGTCGCCATGAGTCAGAGGCAACTCCATGACAGCTAACAACAACCACAACCAAGAAATACACAACATAAAGCAATAACTTCAGGTTATCGCCCCTGTGGATGTTCTCAGGAGCCAAGCTTACCCGTCTCTAACTTGAAGACTCTTCTAAGGAGACATTTGAGAAGCTCTGCAGAGCAGAGAGGAGCCCTGAAGCCAGGCAGACATGGATGTGACTATATTCTGCCCCACTCCCCACTGTGTGACCTTGAATGAGTCTCCTCCCCTCTCTAGCTGTCAGTTTCTTCATCTGTAAAAAGGAATTTGGGGTCACAGCCCCCACCTTGCCCACCTTGAAGGGTCGATGAGATAATGAAAGAAATGAGACTCTTGAGCTGCACAAAGCCCCTGTGTTATGAATTGAATTGTGTCCCCCAAAAGACAGGTTGAAGTCCTAACTCCTGTACCTGTGAATGTGACCTTGTTTGGAAACAAGGTCTTTGAAGAAGTTATTGTTCTTGCTGTTGTTAGGTGCTGTCCAGTCGATTGTGACTCATAGCGACCCTGTGTACACCAGAAGGAAACACTGCCCGGTCCTGCGCCATCCTCACAGTTGTTGCTACGTTTGAGCCTATTCTTACAGCCACCGTGTCAATCCATCTCGTTGAGAGTCTCCCTCTTTTTCGCAGACCCTCTATTTTACAAACCATGATGTCCTTCTCCAGGGACTGGTCCCTCCTGATAGCATGGGGGATGCTTGCTTCTAAGGAGCATTCTGGCTGTACTTCTTCCAACACAGGTTTCTTTGTTCTTCTGGCAGTCCATGGTCTATTCAATATTCTTTGCCAACATCATGATTCAAAGGCATCAACTCTTCTTCAGTCTTCCTTATCCATTGTCCAGCTTTCACATGCATATAAGGCAATTGAAAACACCATGGCTTGGGTCAGGCACACTTTAGTCCTCAAAGTGACATCTTTGCTTTTTAATACTTTAAAGAGGTCTTTTGCAGCAAATTTGCCCAGTGCAATACGTCATTTGATTTCTTGACCGCTGCTTCCATGAGTGTTGATTGTGGATCCAAGTAAAATGAAATCCTTGACAACTTCAATCTTTTCTCCGTTTATCATGATGTTGCTTATTGGTCCAGTTGTG